TTGACTCATGCTTGACCTCTGACTATTTTTTATGATTTTTATTTTTTATTTTAATATACTTTGTGTATTTTACCATTTACTTTCCTTTTTATTAACCATATAAATATTGTTTTATTAAAAAAATTGTTTGGTCCTGACTTAGATTTCATTTGGTGACAAAATCCTCAACCTCATTGGATCTTGGGTGTTGATAGGTTGAGAAACCAAATCCACCAAAATTGATGAATGATGTTGACGATATTTAAAACCCTAATTTCATAATACATCCCCTCCCTTTACATCTTATCATTTTCTTACTTGTGCTACATGTTGTTAGAGAATGATCTACATATCATGTCTCTAAACATGTGGTACATAGATTGCTATTGACCAGCCTCAAAATGGGTGCGACTTCTAGATAAGTCCATATACGATTGTTTAACATAGCGCTAAATTTTATCCTGATTCGAGAAATGATCATTCGTGGCCCAAACCTGTGCTTGCAAGCCCAAGTATATTTAATTTGAAACCTTTGATCCAATAACCTTGAGGTTCATTGTTAGGAGGCTTTGGTCTTATCAATCCTCTAATGAACCTTCATAAAATTTGGTCTAAGTGAATCATTTAAACATCGTTTATCATTTGTTGTTGCCTCGAGAATTAGAAATGAATTAAATACTTGACGAAAAGCAAATGAAACTTGTTGTTACGAGGCTTTGATTTTATCAATCTTCTAATTATTTTTCAAATGCAAGTTTCAAGATGGTCATTCAACTAACCTTTAATTTCTAACTCATTAACAATGGACTTTTATTTTTATGCTTTTACTTTACGCCTTTACTTTTATGCACCGTTTATTTTAGCATTTTCGTTTCATTATATTTTCATCTTTGCTCACTTAAGAATTTATCTTTATGTCATTTTGTTTTGCTCACTTGAGCTTTCATTTTCTTTTTGAAGATACCTAATAATCAACTTGAACAATAAAAAAATTTAAGGCTACTTGGACTATTTGGTTACTATCCTTGACATGATGGAGTCATGGACTTCTTGGAAATAGGAGTAGAGACGTTGACTACCCTTGTGACCTCGTGACTTATGTTGTTACTTTGTCTGGAGTTCTTGGGGTTTACCTCAAGACATTAGGTTGATTTTCTTTATGTGCAGGTTATTTTGATTATATGCTTTGTCTGTGATTGGGAATTCATCTGTATACAGTCGTTACTCTGCCTAATTTTTGTGAAGACTTAATGTATTTGAAGTTTGGTATTCTTAATTGGTTTATTATCTTTGCTTGTTTGGTTTCAATCCAAAGGATGGGTATTCTACATTGACTCATTGTGTCAAGTGTTGGCTTCTTGTTGGTTAGAAGGTTCTTTTCCCTAGATTTTACCTTATGCTTTAGGATATTCCCTTCATATCCTCCCATCTTATTTAATTTCAAAAATCTTCTCCCTCATTTTCAAAACTATTCTTGTTTTCCAAACTTGAATCACTTTCACAATAAACTTGGACTTAGGTCCACGCATTTTCAAAAATCATTTTCTTAATTAAAATTTAAACATTTTAATAATACTTTGACATTTTTGTGAGAAGACTAAAAGTCAATCAATCTCATTCAAACCATTTTACCACTTTGTCTCTTTTACTTTAAACTTTTCTCAAAAGATTAGACTCTTGTAAATCCTTGTAGTGATGCGAGCTACTATACTTATGTGATATGTAGTAAAGTGGGATATTTTCCACTTGGATGTTGAGTGAGGATTTGTTGATTTTAAAATCCAAGTTATATCCTCCACTTTGAGATGATGCAAAATCTCCTTTCTCATAATCGTGGGTAGTAAGTATGTTCTTCCACTCAGAGATGACAATGATGTCTCGTCTCTTAAAATTAACCAACACACATGTTTTTTATTTTATTTTAAAGGTGAGATACGAGTACCTTGGTCCTCTATTTCATGGAAGGTGGTACGTAGGAACTAAAGGTATTCAACTACGGAGGGTGAAAAATTATAAAAAATATTTCTTTTCTCACCTCTACCATCTATTTTTTGTATACAATAGTTATAGCCAAAATACAAAAATTTACATTGAGGTTCCTGTGGAGTACCATAGATGTTTAGGGTGTTAATACCTTCCCTTTTCATAACCAACCCCCTTACTTAGATTCTCTCCCCCTCTTTTTGGGTAATTCGCTATTTTCCCATTCATCTGGAAACAATAAAGCGCGGTAGCGATTTTTATTTGATATGTGTGAGTCAAGTCAATCCAATGGCTTAATATTAATATTTCTACTGCTACAAAAAAATGGCGACTTCACTGGGGACAGATTGACCAAATTCTGGTCCATCTATAAGTGGGTTGAGCCTATTTTGTTTATTTGTGTATATGTTATTATTTGTTATATATTATGTGTTATATATGTTTGTCTGGATTTTTCTGGTTTCCAGGGTGCTTGGTGATTTCTCATAAGTCCTCTACCCGGACTTGGGAAAATTTAAGATAGGACGGGCGATATAGTCATGTTAACTTTGAGGGAGTAATCCTAAAAAAGGAGGCATGAGATCCTCCACTCAGTGGAGGCCCCTTTGACTGTAGTATCATTTACCGAGTAATCGGGAAGACGTGATGCTATCGACCTAGGAGCCTGCTGAAACTGAGGACCCTAGAACCCTTAACCCATCTTGGCTTTTAAGGTGTAGTGCAGAAACTATGACGGAGTAATATGGAAATGGTTGACACGCGATACTACACTCAGACAAGTTTTTCCTGAGAATATTACTAATTACCGAGTCAATCGGGACGTTGGTAATATCCGAATAAAGGATGTAGACTCTGGGAACCTCTTAGAACCTTGTTCGGCAGGTGATAAACTATTAGTCCATACCTTATGGGTAGTACCTTTGAGCTCATGCTCATGACGTCGAACCTATAAAACCCCTATGTTTGTGATCTTATGTGTGATTGTTGCATCACGCATTCATGCACCCATGAGCATCCTTTAAAACATTTGTTTCAAGGAACTTAAAGTTTACTTTTTGAAAATATCTCATGTATTGTTTGACCATGGATCCTGGAAAAATAAAGACTCAGAAGTACAGTTTCAAGAATCATAAGATAAATTATTTGATGAGTCTGATTCCCGAGATCAAGAGTTATACTGATTTTTGGAAGAAATATGGATCCATCGTGTCTCTTTTGAAACTCAGGATGAAGGAGGGTATTCTATCTACTTTGGTCCAGTTCTATAATCCGATGTATTGATTTTTTACTTTCCCTGATTATCAGTTCATGCCTACACTAGAGGAATATTTTTACCTACTAGGTTTACCTGATACTGATTGTGTTCCTTTCACCGGTTTGGAGGGAGAGCCCAAGTCTCATGATATTGCTGCCATGATTCATTTGGGAAAGTCTGAGATTGAGGCTAACATGACTACCAAAGGAGGAATCAGAGGATTACCCGCTCAGTTTCTATTGGAGAAAGCTCTCTACTTTGCTATGATGAAGAGTACAGTGGCTTTTGAGTATATTTTTCTCTACTTGTCTATGGGTTATTCTTATTCCCTAACATCGACAAGTTTGTGGATGTCAACACCATCCGGATCTTTTTGATTGGGAATCCAGTTCCTACATTATTAGGAGATTCTTATTACTCCATTCATCTTCGGGATTCTTATCATGGAGGGATGATCATTTGTTACACACCTTTGTTATATCATTTGTTTATTTCTCACTTACCTTGGTCCGATGCTTTCTGAGATATCAAGAAGGAACGTCGTTGGGCTCCGAAGATTATGGCTCTCACTCATTCCGGCATTATTTGATATCATCAGGCTTACTATGATGTGGAGATTATCGATAGTTGTGGTAGTTTCCCCAACGTTCCTCTTCTCGGTACAAAGGGGGGAATTAACTACAATCCCAATTGATTGTGTTATTTACTTCTTTTCTGCTCCATCATTTGGGGGAATTCAAAATTTGTATTGAATGATAGTCTTGTAGGGCTTACATAAATTTTCCAAATATTTTTTATGTTGGTATAGTATTCTAAAAATTAAAAATACAATAATAATAAACACTATTTTATGGTTCTATACAAAACCATTTTTTTGTAAATGTCAAATATTTTTCTATATTTTTAAAAAAATTCATTTTTAGAAGTCTTTCTTTCCTCTCTCTTCCAAACTCACAAACAAAGTCTTAGGAGTTTTATCACCGTTCTTTTTTTTTTTTTTGTAAGCAAGTTATATTAAAAAGAGAACTAAGAATTCTCAAATCTATACAAAAGCGATCGAGATAACAACTCGACAAAAGAAAAACAATATTCTCCCTTTTAAAATACACTTCTGATGACAATTTCATTAAGTTTCAAACGTTTATTCGTTCTTATATTTTTTACACCGCGACAACAATATTTAATTATTTGATTTTAAATTTATCATAATATCTTTATATGAATAAATAAATTATCGTACAATTACTTAACATAATATCTTTATGTGGATAAATAAATTATCGAACAATTAGTTTTATTTAAAATTATTATTAATAATAAAATTTTCACATAATTAACCCTTGTATCAATAGAAACCACGTTTGAGCTGCTCTGTTACGGGTAACACATAACGTGCTATGAAGGTTATTTCCTACTCATCTTCATGATGTGACCTATGTCAATGTTTTCACACATGTCCTTCTCTATTTTTCATTTATTTATTTAGGAACATGTCACCCACACAATTTTTTTACATACTGCTTTGACTGCTGGCGCATTGCAAGGAAGTCATATCATCACAAACAAAACAAAAACAAAAAAACAGTTTGATAATGTTGACCATTTTTAAAAAATGCTATTATTTTCATTTCTATCGGCCGTCACCTATAGACTAGACTTTTTCTTTTGATTCCTTCTCAAAAAGACTACACGTTTACTTTTTCTAATCAGTATAAATAGCAATGAAGATGAACAAAGAGAGGCACACCAAAATAGCAAACAAAATTATTATACCATTCTAACAATGAGGAACTCATCTTTTCTCTTTACTGCTTTAATAACTCTCATGTCTATTTCAACTGCAATATCATCACAATCACCCCTTCAGAATTTCCTCACTTGTTTTTCTCATAATTCTCATGCTTCTAAAGTTATTTACACGCCAAACAACTCCTCATTTTCAACCATCCTCAACAAGAAAATGTATAACAAGAAATTTCAATCACCAACAACACCAAAACCTTTGGCAATTATAGCCGCAAAAGATGCTTCTCATGTCCAAGCAACAGTTATATGTGCCAAAAGTAACAATATTCAAATCAGAATCCGAAGCGGAGGCCATGACTATGAAGGTTACTCATATGTATCAGACGTTCCTTTTGTTGTAATCGACATGTTTAATATCAATTCAGTTGATATCAATTTAAAAGAAGAAACGGCATGGGTTGGTTCCGGTGCAACAGTTGGTAAGATTAATTATAACATTGCAAAGAAAGACAATAATCTTGCTTTTCCATCTGGGATCTGTTTTTCTCTAGGCTCTGGTGGCCATTATTCTGGTGGTGGGTATGGAAATTTGATGCGAAAATATGGTCTTTCTGTTGATAATATCATTGATGCGAAAATTGTTGATGCCAACGGTAACATCTTGGATAGAAAATCAATGGGAGAAGATCTCTTTTGGGCTATAAGAGGTGGTGGTGGTGCTAGTTTTGGTGTTATTCTTTCATGGAAACTCAAATTGGTTCAAGTACCTTCACAACTTACTGTTTTTGATGTGAAAAGGAATGTGGATGAAGAAGGTGCAATTGATGTTGTTTACAAATGGCAACTAGTTGCACCAAAATTGCATAAAGATCTTTTCATTACTCTGAAAACTAATGTTGTTCAAATTGGTAATGGGAGCAAAAATGCAATACAAATTAGTTTCATTGGTCAATTTTTGGGAACAACCGAAAAACTTTTACCTTTGATAAGTGAAAGTTTTCCTGAATTAAATTTGAAAAAAAGTGATTGTTTTTCAATGCCTTGGATTAATACCACTCTTTTTTGGTATGGTAAACCATTTGGTAGTCCTCTTGAAGAATTGTTGGTGGACGGACCTCCATCAATTTATTTCAAAAGTAAATCAGATTATGTGAAGAAACCTATTCCAAAGGTAGCTATAAAATCTTTATGGAAAAAATTGATTCAAGGCAAGACTATGTATATGGATTGGAACCCTTATGGTGGAAGAATGGAAGAGATATTGCCATCACAAACTCCATTTCCTCACAGAGCGGGAAACTTGTTCAAGATTCAATATTTTAATAATTGGATTGATGGATCTCCTAAATCTATTGAACAACATGTGAACTTTTCAAGATCGATTTATAAATTCATGACACCCTATGTTTCAAACTCTCCAAGGGAGGCATTTCTTAATTATAGGGATGCTGATATAGGTGCCAATCATCCAAGTAATATAACAAAATTTGACATTGCAAAAACTTATGGAAGAAAGTTTTTCAAAGGAAATTTTGAAAGATTGGTGAGTGTGAAGACTAAAGTTGATCCTAAAAACTTTTTTAGATATGAACAAAGTATTCCTACTCTAACACATTAGAGTGATAGAATATTGTGTTGTACCAAATAAAAAGTCTTAAACCTATTTTGAATTTTAAAGAAATAATTGAATGAAATAAATGGGAAAAAAATCATAGTAAATTCCCATACAATTTTTAGCATTGTAATCCAATAGAAGTTATTGCATTTTTTAGTTGTTATGTTTATTTGTTTAAATTATTTTAATATAAATTATAGTCAAAATATGAACAAACTATACCTGCAAGTGATAGAATATTATGCTGTATCAAATAAAAAGTCGTAAAATATATTATGAATTTCAAAGAAATATATAATTGAATGAAACAAATATTAAGAAATAAATGAAGAAAAAAAAAAGCATACTAAACTCACATACTATTTTTTAGCTTTGTAACCTAATAGAAGTTATTGCATTTTTTGTTTAATATAAATTATAATCAAGATATTTATAGTTGTATGTTATCAGGTAGTTTTGTCATTTTATTTAATTATTGACCAAGACAAAAGATAAAAAATTAAATTATTCTTAAGCATGGGTCTCTCTTTTCCTTTCTAGTTTCTTTTTTTTTATGCACGTTTATTCAGTTTTTCACTATGGACCTTAGTCCCTGATGTGAAAAATAGCATACCTTCTATCACACCTAACATTACCACCAACAATCAGCTGTAGTAAAACTTTTTTCCCAACCATGGCGATAAAGGCTCTTTGTCATACTGATGTTTAAGATTTAAAGGGTCTGTTTGGAAAAGACTCTGTATATATAGATTGGATTGATGGATTTTCTAAATTTATTGAACGACATGTGAATTTTTGAGATCGATTTATAAATTCATGACACCTTAAGTTTGATATTTTTCAAAGGAGGTATTTCTTAACTATATAGATGCTGATATAGGTGTCAATCATTCAAGTATTACAATAAAATTTGATATTACTAGAACTTATGAAAAAAAGTTTTTCAAAAGAACATTTAAAAGATGGTGAGTGTGAAGATCAAGGTTAATTCGAGAATTTTTTTAAATATGAAGAAAGTACACCTACTAGAACATATTAGAATGATAGAATATTGTGTTGTATAAAATAAAAAGTCATAAAATGTACTAGGAATTTCAAAAAAAAATAATTGAATGAAATAAATATTAAGAAACAAATGAAAAAAATAAAAAATCATACTAAATTAACATACTATTTTTATCTTAGTAACCCAATAGAAGTTATTGCATTGTTTTTGTAAAGTTATTATGTTTATTTGTTTAAGTTATTTTAATTTAAATTATTGTTAATATATTTATAGTTGTATGTTCTCTGGTAGTTTTCTTGCTTTAATTAATTGTCGACCTAGACAAAAGATAAATATTTGAATAAGGCTTAAGCAAGGGTCCCTCTTTTCCTTTCTAGTTTCTTTTTCTTGTGGTGCATGCTATCCAATTTTACACCAAAGACTTTAATCATTGATGTGAAAAGTAACACATTTTCTATCACACCTAACATTACTACGAACAATCAAGTGTGGTGATGGATATTCTTTGTAGTAGTGTTGTTTAAGATTTAAAGGGTATGTTTGGAAAAGCCTTAGAGCTTGATCTTTCCATCTAGTGGTGTCTCGTTTAAGTATGCAGATGATATCTTGATTTTTGGTGAGACTGCAATTGAGATCTTTGGACTTTTAAAGCTATCATTAGAAATTTTGAGTTAGCCTCACGTCTTCTGGAAAATTTGGCCTAAAAAAACATCATAGGTATCAATGTTGCTTCAATTTTTGAAAATGAACGAGGGCTTGTTATATTGGTAGAAGGAGCATCAACCATTTAAGTATCTTTAGTTTCGCGTGCAAGGCAATTGTCATCAGAAGTTCACTTGAGAGCCCCTAATTAAACTTATTTTAAAAGTTTTATTCAAAGAGTAATATATATGTTAGTTAACGAGGAAGAGTGGTCCTTTTAACAAGGTCTAAAACACGATTCCCATTTCAACCTCTTTTATTTAAAGTTGTCGATTAAGGTTTGGATGAGGTTAGTCGGCCTTTAAAGAATATATCTTTTGGGCGGGGTTAAAAGTTATTATTAAATTTATTTTGTTCGGTGGTGAAATGTGTGCAAACCTAAGTATAAATGTGTTCGTACTTGTATTGTCCAAAAAGTAAGGGTGTCTGTGTGTTCCTCTTGCAAGGGCAGGGAGACTCAGAGGCTCAAGTAGGTAATTACAAGTTTGGGGGAGTTGGCTAGCTCGGGGTTGAGAGTAGCCATGTACATTGGTTTTTGATACTTTTTAAGGGGACTAGCTCACATGAGATGAGAGGTTGTGTTGGTGGCCGAAGCTACTGGGTTGCAAAGGGCGACTAGATTTATAGTGTTAAGGCGACTAGGAGCAAGTGCTCTATGAGTACTAATAAATATGTATGACTTACGAATCTCCTTTATCCCTCTGAGGAATCATGTATTTATAGAGACCTCAAGGACCAAAGATTTTTACCTCTTGGATGTGGTTTTAACCACTCCCCTATTATTGGGGGAGATTGTTGACATCTTATCTTCACAAAGCTAGTGGGGATCCTTTACATCTTGACTCCCATGTTGGGGAAATTTATTGGGCGACTCTCTTGGATCCCCTTTTAGGCGGCTCAACTACTCGGATAGGGCATCCTAGTATGGGTCCTTATCAAATATAATCCTACATAGTCCCTCAAGGACGATAAATTTTTATTAAAAGGTCGGAGTGTTTAAAACTACTATCCATTTCATAATGTGCCCCTCACCTTGCTACTGATTCCCTTGGTTGAAGATGATGCCGCTGGGCGGGAACGCTCCCCTCGCATGCGATTTCCTCAATGAGGGGTGAGTAAAATAGTAGGTGAGTGTAGGTGAGTCCCTCAGTGACGGGGTGAGTGAAATAGTAAGTGAGTCCCTCAATCGAAAACGTACGGGCTCGCAGGTGCCTATGTGACATGGCGTTTAACAGATTTAGGGAATCGTGTATGTTTTGAGGAGATATTTCAAGACACCCAAACATCAATGAATTTGGCAATATTGAGTGTTTGAGGAGAAGAGGCATGGGTAGCATTTAAGGCACCTCATGATGATATTTCTCGAGAAGACATATCATTTTCATGTGTTTACACGTGGCCTTCAAGTGTGGAGACTTTCACGCTTCTGGAGTCAGCCTATTAGGTGAACGTGTGAGTTTGTTTCCTTGGACTTCCTATATATTTTTCGGAGGTGTTGCTTCACTTCTTCTTTTTCTTTTTAAAAAAACATCCTGCATTAATAATTTTACTTTTTCGAACCCATACTTTCGTTTACTATGGTGAGAAAAGCTACATTCATCCATGTGCGAGACATAGCCTGCTTGTACTCTACTGCAGACATGATCAACAAAATATACCATGGAATCAATTTCTCTAATGCAGAACGAGAGATGGATGTGCTCATGAATCATTGTTCGAGGGGTGAGAGAGAAGATATGGATAAATCTGATAATTCGGTCGCTCTTTACTTCTACTTTCATTTTCCTATTATCTATAATTTGGGGGTTCTAGTTCCTTTTAATTCTTTAGAAATAGAGTTTTTGACCACTGTTAATATGAAATGTTTAGGGTATACTTAGGGCCTTTTATATAGTATACCTTCACCTAGGGTGTCTCCTTCTGTCAGGGTGTTTTATACTTTTTTTTGGACGAAGTTGCTTCCAAGTAGTTGTTCAGTCAGCTCACGCCCTTTTTCAGGGGTGCGTTTTTAAAAGCCATTCGTTAGTCCTTACGAATATTGGAAGGATACATTTTCTTGGATAAGAGGGATAGACAATGCGTCTCCCTTCATGGTGGGGGAAGGAGACGATCCTATGTTCCCTTTTTCTTAGACTCATGATTCTAAATTCATCGTGAGGGTGAACTCATGTGTCCTCTCTCCCTTGGATCATATCTAATTCAGGTTTTTTAGTGCTTCCGCCCCCTGTAATGCAGTAACCTTATCGCTCTAGCCCGTGAAGACGACAAGAGAGTAGAGGAGTACATAAGTAAGGGAAAACACTCTTTATTAGAGTTCCATTTGTATACACTTACTTTGATAGTTTATCATATGCAGGTGAGATGATGGTGGTTCCTCTTGAAGAGAAACGAGAGCGTCTGGAGAAGATGTAGACAGTTGAACAATGGGAGATGCGGTTTTTTTATCATGGGACCTCAAACATTCAAAGAATGTCACAATTTGAAAACTCTTGGGAGACAGAGATCCATCCTTCAAAATCTCCCACGAGGGAAGACGGCTCTTCCGGCCTGGGATGGAATCCAAGAGCAAGACCCATGGCAAAGAGGCTAATGGACACTCAACCTCCCCAGGAACCATCTTTATGGAATAACTATGTTTTTGATGTCGTGGCTTTTGCTGATAAGGATTTTCTCAGGTGACTATCAGATGCTTTTCGCCATGTCTCCCACCCAACTATAAACTTTGTTGGAGGTCCAGTTGATGAGATGCTTTTTGGAAGGAAAAAAGTTGAGGGAGAAGCATTCTGACACCCTGGAGAGAATATTATGAAGTCTAGTGTGACCAATATAAATAAGTGTACCCTAGAAGGCGGGGCAACTCTGAAGTAGATAATGGTAAGGGGGGATGATACAAAGGTGCTTGCTGAAGGAGTGGCCACCTAGGCGCATGTCTAGCAGGCAGAGGAGGAAGGTTTAAAGAAGTCGTTAGAGGAAGTTCACTTAAAGGTATAATCGATGTTGGATATTTTGGATATTGGGGAATTGATTTTATGGGTCATTTTCCTCCATCTAACTCTAATTTATACATTTTAGTTTGTTTTGATTATGTCACTAAATGGTTTAAAGCCAGTGCATGTGTTGCTAATGATGCTCAAACGATCTCTAATTTATTGAGAAAAAAGTTTTTGCAAGGTTTGGAGTCCCTGGAGATTTGATCATTGATGGGGGGACACACGTTTGTAATAAATACTTATAAAGTGTGTTTTCAAAATACAATGTGATGCATTCAATTTCCACACCATATCATCCTCAAACT